CCGAAAGCCAAGAAGCGAAAAGTGGAAGACGCCCGCACAGGGCGTCTGGTGTTGCAGAAATTTCGACGACGGTGCTAGCACAGCTTGCTCCAGCTCTTGTTCAAAGCTCGTGTTTACAGGAGTGTCCCGAGTCTCTAGCTGTGCAAAGGCACTCTTAAAGTCAACGGCTTAGACCAAAAAATCCGGATCTTGAATCGCTCAGTCAGGGCTTGAGGTGGATTCTGTTTACAATAAGCATCCTTCCTCCAGCATTCCAAGGTTTCTATTACCATGGAGGGCCTCCGCCGCTCAGTCTGAGATTCGGCAGGGGGAGACGTCCCAGAGTGAGATGGAACTCAAGCGTGAAAGAAAGTCACATGTGCCTGGACTCGTTGAGAAGACGCCTAAAAACGCTTAAAAAAGTCATAAACCCAAGGCTTGGGCCCTACGATGCTGTGCCGGGCCATGTGGTTCCGGGCCACGTCGTCCCTGGATATGCAGCACCTTGGCAGTACCTGTCGGAGGGTTCCCCCCGAGTGAACCCTGCGTTTTGCATCACTGAAGCCTCTGCGGGGCAGTATCCACGCAATGGATGCCGCTTGCTAGGCCCCCAAAGAGCCAGGGTCAGCATGCTCACCATGACATCACGCATTTCCGGTGCGTGCATCGTGTGGTTGGTTGGTGTTGGTGGGTGAATGGGTGGGTGGGTGGGTGGGTGGGTGGGTGGTTAGGTTGGTCTGGGTTAGGAGTAGCACTCTTAGGCAGATGTGCGATCGCACACGCGCTTTAGTCAAACTACCTGCTTACATGGATGAATTACTTCTTACGCATGTGACAACATGTTGCACAAATTCCATGAACGCAGAAACTGCCTCGTGCGACGATCAACCGCAGCAACATATATCTTCCTTCACGAGGCCTCACCGCCCGTCTCGGCCCCGAGTCGTGCTTCGGCTTTTAATTGGTAGTCAAAGCTTCGAATTCTGGATGCCCTTTCAGATAACACGACTCTTGGATTCGACAGCGAGTTAAGGATTCCAAACGAATTAAAACATGTTGCGGGCGGAACGGATCGCAGTTGGGTTGCAGAGTTGGCCGCCTACTTCGTCAAGCACCGGTGTTCAACTTCGAGGGGTTTCAACATCTCATGTCGACATGTATCCAACATCTGTGGCAGCATGTATAAGTGTAGTTTGAAGCTAGGGGTTCTTTTGCCACAGGATTTGATGGGGACCACCCGTGGTGCACACCCTTAGCTCGAAGCCAATCCTGGAGGTGTGACTCTCCCCGAGTGCCATCTTGCAGCTGTACATCCGGAGTCCGCATTGCTAGTGTTGTTGCTTATGCCCTGTGACGTGCTCGTCAGCGCTGCTTCCCGCTCTGTCACTTCTGATGCCACTACTCTGGCACTGAGACTGCAGGGCTGCAAGAATGGTCGTCACAGGCTGCGGATTGTAGCTGCCAAGGTCTGCCGGAGAGGTCAGGATCTTCAGAACTGAGCCAGTCTAGCAGACACCCGGTGAGCCCAAGGCCCTGGGATGCTACAGTCAAAGTCCTAGCAACTTCCCATTTCCTGCACCCTAAGATCACGGCGGCGCCTCCAGTGCCTTGGATCCGTCCCAGCTGTCGGATTCAGGAGGCTTCGGGGATTTTACTCATAGTCTCTGAGAGTGAAGGAAGGGTGCTTGAGGCTTTTGTGAAAGCAGACTTTCTCTCTCGCAGAGGCCATGTAGCCTTGAAGGGTTCACTTGGGCCAAAGTGTCGGAGCCACTAGAGTCCGTTTCTCTTGCCGAGCGACCAACAAAACGACACCGAACTGTCAGTCGAGGTTCTCTGTGGGACCATACTGAACAATTGGTGCGCCTGCAATCAATGCTGCTTTCAGCCGTTATCCGCCAAAACACGCACCTGAAGTAAGGCTACCCGCACACTGACAGCGGACCCATCACAAGATCCAGTGCATCAAGCCGCGGTGCAGCATGTTCTCAAAGTTCAAGGGTATTGGAGACTGCTCTGAGACGTCTGGGGTTCCTACCAGAGCTTTCGGTTCAAAAGGCAGCACGATTTGGATGAGGTCGTAGATCCTCAGAACAGTGAAGCAAGGTAGTAAAGTCACAAACATCGGTGGTATGAGGCTGGGAGGAACCTAGGTCCTACATGCTGCCAGTGTTGGTATCGGTGGCCCCCTGCTTTGAAGAATCAGAAATATTCGGGCGTAGCACAAACCCATGCAATGCTCGCAGCGATCTTGTATTGTCATGCTCTTCAGTGCCATGGGTATAGCCGGGTTCAAGCATTGCCTGCAGCAGTAGGACGTTTATTCTGCTGAAGTGTGGTTTTGCCTCGCTTTGTTCCTCGTGCAGATGCGTTAAAAGCTCAGAACTGAAGGACATCTGCATGGCGGAAACAAACACGGTGCCTGCTCCACCTCCGGCTTCGTCGCCGCCTTCAAATCTTGCGACAGACAAATTCCCGCCCTCTCTTGCGCCCAAGCGCCCTCTCCGGGATGTCGTACCGCCCTCTTTGGTGTTGATCATCTTGCTGCTGTTTCCCGGAGCTTGAAACGAAGCGGTTCTGCAGCGAAGACGTGTGCGATTCAAGAAGACACAAAGCAACGTGTCTTTTCATTCATTGTGTTATGCGTGTGGGCGGATTCACAGAGGTATCCGCGAGAAGATGAGCCATACCCCTATGCATGGCTGCAAAAGCAATTTCCCGAGCTGGACGAATCAACCCCATTTGGACGAGGTCTCTCGCAACAAGCAGGGTCAAACTGATGCAGCAAGCTTCCACGAAACTGACTACCCCAAGAAGAGCGTCTGCCTGTTGCTCTCCCTGGTGGATGCCGATGCAGCCGCCGTGCGGGTGCAGGAGCGGTAGGTGAGGACCACCAGACCGAAAAGTATGCTCAAAGCGTCGTTGGTTGTGGGATAGGTGCAGAAGCCGGTGACACCGGGACATGCCAAGGGCAGGCTGCGGACATACGAGTTCTTGTGCGAATTCATGGGAAGTTCTTGGCGCTCGTAGGAGAAGGGGGCGGCCCAGAAGGTCAAGAGGTCAGGTAAGGTCGAGAGGATCAAGAGGGTCACCCAGGGATAGTAGGGTCTCTTGAGGGACACCAAGTGATCTGACAGGCTCCCCGGCACACCCCCAACGTTGGCTTCTGTTGACGAATCCAAATTTTGCACAAGAAACTCTTGTTGCCCGGCCCTCAACTGCAGGACGCGCGTGAATGCCCCGGTGCGTTAGCAAGCCAGTAGCAATTCGAGAGGATAGCCGCGGCATCCTACGATCAGCCCTACACGTCGATGTTTACCCATTGTCGGAAAGTTTTCAATTTGCGGGCATCAACCACACTCGATTCAACAGAGAACGCAGGGTTTTTTTGTGAATCCATAAATATGACTTCAAGAACTCGGTCAAGCTGTGAGAGAAGCCGCTCTGTTGTTCGCAACTGTTTTCAGACAGGTGCGCCCCCACGTCGATCGGCCTCATCCTGCCACCGTGGCGTTGAATGCACCGCACTTTGTCCGAAGTATCCCAGAGCTCGACGGCTGAACAACCTAGACTTTTCGGACCTTACGCCCTGATTCTGGCGGGACCCCTCGAACCCGGTACCCTCTATGCAAGGCTAGTCGCACTAGCTATGTCTTGTGGTCGAGTGCGCTTGATTTTTTACACATCCTAGGCCTACAGGCCGATGTCACAGCACCAGTTTCTCAAGCACTGGCATGCAGAGGTAGCGTATGGCACAAAGATGTGAAGGAGTTTGGAGACAAGGGGAGCATAGTGCTTTCATATCCGTCAGATTTCGGGTGGAAACCATGACCTGCCCAGGACTTCAGCGAGGAGCATCGCCGCAGGCTTCTGTTAGAGGATTACCTCTGAGCGTTTGAAGCCTCGTGCATCTAACCACAGGATTCGAGCGTTGTGGTTGCGGATTGCTGTCCAGACCACGTACCTCAGTTAACTGGCGAAGCCTACCTATGCAAACAGACTTCGGAACACCATGCGCCCAGGAGTGAATATGAAAGTAGTTGAGCAATGAAGCGGAAAAACTCAACCACAGAGCTGATTTCCTCCATCATCATTCGCAGTCAGACTCGGTTCGTCGAACGTACCAAAAGGGAGCTTGATCTCAGCATGATGCCCTGTACCCGCCCTCACTGTGATAACACGGTTCAGCCCGAGAAACATGATCGTTTCCGAAAGAAAACCGGGTGTCCTTTGTATTTGGGGGGTCTCTTGAATGAGTCTGGGACCAGACATTTCAGGAGCGTTCAGTGCTTCAATTGTTTCAGAAAAGGATGTTGTTCCGGATTGCCGAAGCAAGACCTCAAGCTTTGCTGTGCTCAAGACGTTAGACATTCTGCAGGTCACATGTTGAGGCAGCGCATTTGTGTGTTAGCTTGGGTTTGGGCAGGTGGTCCGTGGGCAGGATACAGCTCTGAGTGAAAGATGCAAGCACTCCTGTCTTCAGCAATCCAGGTTCTCTCACCCGGAGAACATATTGCTGGCATGTCAATATGGCGCGAAACTCAGATTCCACTAGAGAATTGTCCACGGAGTCCTCGGCTCGAAATACGAGGGCAGCACATGGACCTCAGATGTTAACATGCTCTCCATGTCCACCGGTCCTCCAACGCCGAGTCGAAACTGCAGAGAATTTCATTTGCATTGAGAGTGTTTAGACTTTCCTCTCTCGTCAAGGCAATTCGCAAGCTAGTGTCGGAAGTGTTGCTGTGCTCCTGTGGTGGCACTAGCGACACCGTGTAGCCGGCGCAATGAAACAAGTGTCCGGGCGACTGTGGTGGTTCGGCCTCCTGCACTATGACTAGCTTTCTCAGCAGACTCGCTTGCCCCGATTGCCCACATGAAACGGTTCCGTGTCTTTGCTGGGGTGGTAGAGTGTAGGGATAGCGAATGAAGACACGCGATTCCTTCAGCGGGTCTGGAATTCCAGCTTGGTGTTTTTTCACCCTCCTGGTTCTCTGTCGTTTTTGGGCCTCCTGATCCTGCAGGCAGCAGATGCTACCAAAAGAACCTGGCCCACCTCAAGCACTTCGTGCCCGGGCCCCGGAGGTGGAAAAGCAGAATTGAGACTTCTACGTACTTTTCGTGGCCGGAAGTCGGAGATACCGCAAATTTGTCTGCGAGCGGTTAGGCACAGAAAGCAGATGACTGGTGCCCTGCTTTTCGAAGTTTGAGGGTGGATTTGCAATATAGCCCTACAGTTGTTTGGCCCAGGAGGGCATGGCTGCACGGACTCACCACAAGAAGGGTTTCTGGAGCAGCACGTGAGCTCGTTTGCCTCGTCGAAATCCCTTTTCCGCCTGTCCCCTTTGTGGAAACAAGTTCCAGCTTGTCATCCGGCGGAACGAGAACGGACAGTTTGTGCTTCATGCAAGCAAAGAACAGCTAGTATCTCGCCGTGTATACCTGCGGTAGCTTTCGATGTCCCCGACCAGGCACCCGGGCGATCGGCACTACCGAATGGGCCTTGTGCATTTCCCGACGCGGAAGGGAGCCTCTCGTTTCCAACACACGGGTTCGGTCAAAATGCTTCACGTTTTACCAGCACCGCCGAGCCACGGATTTAGCGGCATGTTTACTAGTTGAAGGCTTTTGTCGGCATTGAATGTCTGACTGAGGATTTACCGGGACTTCGGACTTCGGACAGGGGAGGGTTAGGTGGAAGATGGCATCGAAGGCACAGGGGCTTCGGGGTCTTGTCGATCCAGTCCTCTCTGGTTTCGCCCACAGATTCCAACTGTAAGCAGTCTTGATTCCTTTAAGTCATACATGCTGCGCGAACCATATGTTTGACCAGAGGCTCTTGACCATCACAAGGCCAGTAAGAACGCGGATCAGCAGATTTGATCGGAGGTGCGTGTTCAAAAGGAGTTCCCGACGTTGCACCTTGGCAAACTCCTACATTTATGGGCTGGTCCAGGCTTTCGAGGTTTGCAACATACGATAAGGGTAGTTGTGGAGACAGGCATGGCTTTGCTTTGCTCGAGATGTGCCTCTGCCAGCATGTTTCTTACTTTATGCATGGTGCTCTGCAGATCTCTCGCGCGGGCTTGTTGCGTGGGGGATGCGCTGGCACATGTTGGCTGGCTCGGAGGGGGGGGAAGCAGAACAAGCCGTGTACATCTTCAATGGAACTGAGGCCGACAAGCTTTGACAGTTTAATGCAGTAACCAGCGAACAGTGAGCATCTTCAATGACTAGGCCCATCAGCCAAGGCGTGATCTGTTCAACTTCTGCGACCCAGATGAGTCTGGGAACATCTCCAAAGAAGAGTTCCAGGCCAGTGGCCCCAGGTCCAGAAGCGCTTGGGGGAGCGATTTCAGAACTCAGTCAGACGGTAAAGCGCATCGACAGCACTGAGACCCTTATCAAGCCATCAACACTAGTCATTGAGCAAAGGGCCTGTCTATCACATACCAAAGGAACAATTCTTGCGGAAGCCTTGCTGCGCCAGCTCCCACGATCCTCCCCAAGTGAAAAAAGCTACTCAAGAGACCCAGGGCTTCAATCTTTCGAGATGTAGTGGCCTAAGCCTCTCACGAGGGTGCATGGGACCTGCTCGTCGACCTTCCCCCGGCGGTCTTCGGCATGGAGGCCTATGGGGAACCGGGTCCTGCTGCAAACTCGCAAGGCATCTTGAAACCGAAAGCCCCTGAAGACCCTCAAGCCTCAATGATCCTCAAACAGTCACCCAGAGTCCTACGCTCTGAGCTCACCGGGGTGCCGGATTCGGAGTATCAAGTTCCCAAGAGCGAAGGATTCCGCGCAGAGGCATTCGACAGCTTGGGCGAAGCCTGAAGAGGGGACTTAAAGCGGTTTCAGGATAAGCTGAAATCGCCGGGATCAGGATATGGTCGAAAAAGCGGTTTGGACACAAAGCCGTTTGGCAGAATCAACCAGAACGAATTCCAGAGAGGTTTGGTCACATCCCTGATCAGGGCACTTCGCTGAAGGGCAGCCCTGAGCAGGCCGGACCGGGCATGAACCCAGATCGGGATGTTACTTCAGTCCGGAAGCGCGGTGCGTTCTTGCATGCAGTCCAGAAGATGACAGCTTTCCTGACACAGGGTACTTTTGCGGGTACCATCTCCACGTGGTTGCATTCATTTTGCATAGATTCCGTGCTGGTGGATAGGCAAAGCATCCGCAACTGAGGCGGAATTAACTCCAGGCTCCACCAACGGACGCTCCGCAAATGGGTCCCTGAGGCTCTCCTCAGCGTTCCTCGTCCTTCCGTTGGACACATCCCCGCACTGCCTTTCCTTTGAAGGGAGTCTCCGAACTGGAAACCTTCGACCTACCGTCACCAAGCCTCGTCTCGAGGAAATTCTACGCTTAGGCCCCACCCCAGATCCAGAAGGCCTGGGAATCTGCTGCCGGCGACGAGCGAAGCCACCTCACCTTCGCCCAGTTCGCGAAGTGGGCGGCGGCGGCCTGACCCCAATAACCAGTGACTAGGGAAGACGTCTCGCCAAACTACAGACGTTCCGCGTGTAATAGTCGGAAATAAACTTGTTTGTGAATATGCACATGAAAGGAGCCTCCACGAAGTGAATCGGCTTTTGATCATGCCAAACTCCAAATCAGCAACCGTGCATGGAGCCATGACCAGGACATGAAGATTCAGCTGCCCGTGGGCGTGGATCCCTCCGACGCCGCCGCAGCACCGTGGCAACAGTTTCCGCGGACACTTTGTGCTCGAGTGGTCCGAACGTACTGCGCAGCAGAAGAAGCGAAAACTAATATGCCTCACATCCCTGAATGCCTTCGTCTGATCGGAAGAGCGGAAGGTGGATCGAAAATTCTCGACGAACTTTTGGGGCAGCTCAAAGATTCAGCCACCAACTTCAACACCCAAATTCTCCAGGATCGGCCGTGTCGCTTCCAGTACAAAGACCGCTGCCCCTGCGTGAATTTCAAGGTCCAAAAGCACGTACTTGGCTGTGAGGGGATGAGGTGAGTTCTCAACCCCTGTCTTTTCCTGTGAAGCTCTCACATAGTTCTCGTGCGTCAGAGATTATGTGTTCCCCGGCAGAGATTTCAATGCCACGTGCTGTATCTAACGAGAGCAGACAGGTGCAGCCATGTCGCTCTACTTTCGCGTTGCTGTCTAAGACAATCTCAAGGTTCATTGCTCGCTAGGTTTAATTTGCCGCATCATATTTCTTCATCCGTGCATGGGTATGGACGACATAAAGCAAGTGACGTCCCATGCGGGCTCGCTATCAATGCTTCACAAGGTGGAGATGAGTGCAAACAGTGACCGATGATGTACAATATTGTCAAAAGAAGTAGCGTGCTAGATGGCGACCAAGAACATTTGATAAAATAGGAGGAAACAGGTTCCCTTTGTGTGTCCGTGCGTGCTTTTGCTTTTCGTCCCAGTCCCCGACCAGGCCACAGCTGCGAATCCGACGATGTGCGAGTGTGGCCACAAGACTCTTGTCCTGCGCCTTCTTGTTTCGTCTAGCATTTCGGCTGTTCATTGTGTGGACGTGTTGTCAGTAGTTTTGCAGCTAGTTGGTGGCGCGTCACTGGTTTCCCGAATCATTCAATTCGACTGTTGCAGCTCTCACTGGCGACGAAGCATGCAAAAGTTCAAGCAGGATGAGAAAAAAAACTGACTGATACGTACTGCTGGCAAAGGAGCTCGTGCCACCTCTCCGATGTGGCCCTGATGACACGGGAAGAGCAGGAGGCCTTGGTTGAAGCAGGGCATGCAGAGTTGAAGGTTTCGGCTTGAGGTTGTTAAGCCTGCAAACTGGTACTGTGCTGTACGGGGTAAAGCAGGCATTGGCGAGTTCGGATCTGAGATCGTTCGGAAGATGGGAGAAGCGCTTGTAGCTTAAGACCCCTCATTCTTGAATGGCATGCTCACAGTTCAGAAGTTATATATGATCCCGGTTCTCGGTTCNNACGCCGACCCCCCCCCCCCCGATATCCCCCGCTCTCCCCCCCACGCCCAGTGCCAAACATGCCGAATCTCTGTGACCGCGCGCTCTTCTCCCATATGGCGGCTCCAAAACCGTAAGCTGTCGCGAGAGTTTCCCACCATGACTCCGACATGAGGGTATCAAACATGCAACTGCCATGAGGATTGCATTCCTGACAAGCCCGATTCTTGTGACACATGACCCAAGAAAGGAGCATGATGATAATGATGATGATGATGATGACAACGATGACGATGATGATGATGATGATGTAATGACGACCCCTCCCCCCCTAAGCAGATGCATACCCCGAACTACACCACACCGCAGCCCAAGCAGACCCGAACCACACCACACCACACCACAAGGGGATGGGGGAAGGGGTGACCCGATTCTCCTTTGAGTGGAAGGATACGGGTACAGTGCGATCCCTGAGGATCTAACTGCTTGCCCTTGCACGCTCGGCAGCACACGTTGTTTTGCTACACGCAGAGAGAGCTAGTGTCTTCAAACCACTTGAGACAGAAATCCTTACGGCGCATACATGTACGTGTTATGCCATTGCTGCAGGTACATGACATGTCTGTATTTCATTCCTGGCTGCCTGAAGGGGGTGGGGGTCCGAAATTGGGGGGAGGGATGGACTTTTCAGGACTATGTGACAAGCTGGTCTTGGTCTGTATGCAGAGTGACAGTAGCAAAGTCAACAACATCGACGGCAAGAACAGCTAGAACAGGCATAACGCCGCCAGAGAACCCGCAAACCTCGAACACACCCCGAATGGGCGGGATCATATACATCTGCTAGTGGCAGTCAGTGCAAGCATAGTGCAGAGCCGCGAGGTCTTGAACAAGCTGAAGCGTAGGGCACTTGGCCGTGGTGCCTCCAAGCCACTTGGCCGAATCCTGGCTGAAGCCTTGACGAGGCTTCCCAGGCATTTCACCGATGGTTCGATTTTCGAGCATTGCGAAAGCTTCCTTCAGGGCCACATTCAAAAAGCCAGGTGTGCGGGGATGAGACTTCTCCATGCAGACGCCCCATGCCGTCAGTCATCCTCAAACCTTCCCCCTCCATTGGACAGCCAAACCAAAGCGAAGTTAAATCGCTCAGCTTGTTGCTCGGTCTGTGCTCGGCATTGCAGATCCAAGTCAAGCTCAGGACCTCGCTCTTCGCTCCTGCCAGGAAGCAGTAGCCTCAGCGCTTCTAGTCGCAGGCGCAAGCCAAGGCGACAAGTGTGGTACAAGACCGGGTGACAGCCAGTGGTCAGGGCTGGCGTTGTTGGGCGCGTGCCAGCTGAATACCCTGCCCCAAACCGGCACGACCAATCATCCAAACAGGGTGTGCAGGCTGGTCACTTTGTGCAGTTACCCCTGACCCGACACATACAGACCAGGCAATTGTATATCCCGTTTCTGAGATGGTTTCCGCGCACGCCGACAGTCCTCCAGGCCGCAGAGTCCATCCACCCCAGCAAAGAACTTGATAATAAAAGCTGGCAAGCCATTCCTCTCCAGACACTGTTGCGATGCATTGAGCTTGTCCAGAGCCTCCCGCTGCAAAATCATTAGACACCTTCCCTTTCTTAACAAAGGCCCGGTGTTACCTTCGTTACAGATCCGGCCGGCTGGGCCTGTTTTTTGCCGAATCTTTCGGATTGCAGGCTTCATGATATTTTAATGTGCTACAGGGTCGGGGGATATGGTTGATGTTCCATGGGTTCTTGTTTTCCTGACAGGTGTTTGGAAGGTTTGCCAGGATTTCCCGAAGTGCTTGGCTTCGAGGCATTCATCTTTAGTTGCGCAGGACAAATTTTCGCACCTGAAAGTCCTTGTCCAGCATGTCTAATGCATCTGTTGTTTCGAGCCTGCAAGATGGACACTAGTCCTACTGGAAGCAGTTTCACAGCGGGGCGACTTTCGTGCAGAGCTGCTTCAAGAATGTTGTTTTATTACGCACGAATCTGCAACCATGAGGTTGTAGATTTTGACAAGTTACATGCTTCCGGCCGCATGCACTCCCACCGGGAGGTAGAAAGGTAGCTGGCATGTGCTGGCCCGAAAACGCCAATACCCTCCAAGAAAGTTATCACTGGTAAAATCTTGTACATGCGCAAAAGCTCCGCTACGCTCGAGTGACTCGCAGTGCTGTACTGGTTTGACGTGTCGCTGCGCCCTTTCCCTTCTATGCTTCTCTTCATTTCCCTCTTCTCAAGCAGTGAAAACATAACGTCAGATACAGTACAGCAACCATGCTTCCAGTCCTAGACCAAAGACAAATTAAAGTCAAGGTGTCTCAACATCCAGCAAGCCCAGTTCCATATCCTGTAAACGGAAGCCAAGAAACTGCTTGCTTTTGGGAACTCCCTGACGAGTTTTCAGGACTGTAGAACAGTGTAATCACAAGTTTGCAACGTTTGTGCGGTCTCGCGGGGAATCGTGTTCAGGCTCCTTAGCCCCGCCGCAAGCCGGAGCTTCGAGTTGCAGAGATGCCAGGAAGTCCTGGCGGCATTGCAAGAGCTGCTGTCGCAGACCCACAAGGAGTTTGGGTTCAGGATTTGGCCCGCTGTCGCTCCCTCAAACGTCATGCGAAATCTGACGCAGAGCAACGTTAAAGCTGCAGATCTTTGAACAACAGGAGCACTCTTGTCTGAAGGGGTTTTCAAACCCGTCAAGAAAATCACATTGTGGTCAGAAGGATCATGACAACTGGACTCGCGACAGAGGCTGTGCGCTCCATGGGCGCCACCGATGTGAGGTGATTGGAAGTCCGGTCTTTTAGAGATTTCGCAATGGGTTGACGCTTCAGGATGTACTTTTGGAATGGAGGTTTAGCTTTAGCGAGATGTGGCGAGCAGTTTGCTACCTCAACCCGCGTCTTTCTTTCGGAAGTGGGTCCGTCTTGCTCTGGCATTTTGCACGTCTTCTCGTGGTACTCCTCCGTCCTCCGTGAATATTCCGCGATGGTGCTGCGAAATTGAGGTTTTTTACTTCCTCGATCATTCCGGGATGAAAGAATTTAGATCAAAAACCCAATATAGGTTTACCCATATCCGAGGCAGCATCCAAACCTGAGACAGTGGGGTTGAGCGGTTACGGGCCAGGTGCTGCAGCTTCCGCTGAGAACCCCCTGACCGCTGAAGCACCCTCAGGCCAGCTGTCTCTTCCGACACAGAGCACCGGTTCCCACCGGCTACAAGCTCGTTCGAGCCGATGCCCGACAGTGGAACTGATTTTGTGGTTCCGAAGCATGCTGGATGTCCTGGAATACCCCTATCAACCATGTAACGGAGTTTGGAACAAACTTACGGTCCCCTGTTTTGGGAGTTGGTTGATTTGCAGTTCCAGCTTGTTTGTCGTTCTCACAGGGCTACGGGCAAAAAAGGTCGAACTTGCGACAATCTGTAGGGGTCGCAGTTTGGATTCGGATATAGGGTGGAGCAAAACTGAGCAAAGTGGCTCCTCCATGGTTTTGATTGCAACTGCTACAACCTGCCAAGAATTTCCCCGAATTTGTCCGAAATAGACCCCGAAGATCGTTAGAGCCTCGTATGCGAAAGCCCTCAGATTCTCTGCGACCTCTGCGTGTTTGCTGCTAGCCCGGCCTCATCGCAGCTTGCTTGCTTTGGCTCTGCACACTGCCCAGGAGAGGAACAGAAATCCTGCCCTGTACCACACATACGCCACGACGCGAGGCGCCATCAAGCAGGACTTGGGCGGTCGTTCACTCACTCGTGAGATGGAACAGTATAGGGAAGTGGCCCTTGCCGTAAGATTCCAGCGGACAAGGCAGCACAAAACAAGGTATCCGAAAGTCAAGAGCAAAAGCCGTGGGGGTGAGATAGAAAGGCGGAGCAGTTTGCAAAGTCTTGTGTTGGACTGCCATACATTGTGTGGTGTGGATGGCGATGATGCTCGAATGCGTTGCTGCTGCATGGTTTCCTACTGGCTGGCAGTTCGAACGAAGTTTGAGGCCTCATATTCGTTCAGCATGGGTGTGTGGCACTGGGGCAGGCACTTTGGTGCAGCA